AAGTAAAAACTATATGCAAGAATAAAAGCTCAGACTACTTTATCTGTGATCTAAACCTACTAGAGTGGTTAAAAACTTACCTAGATTATGATAGATAAAATATAATTAGAAGTATATTGTAGTCAATTCATAATATATTAAAAATTTTAAGTTTGCCGATAGCCTGCTCTAGTGGTAGGCAGAAATTATTAATGTGTAATTGGTCTAGTTGATTGTATTGGCATGAATAAGTATAAGCTTTACGAGTTCATTTTGAGGTTCTGTTATTAGCTTCTTGTAGCTGAAGTTGTTTATAAAATAAGATAATTTTATATTGTTTTTTTTCAGTTTAAAAAGTTATAACAATATAGTTTTTATAATTGGAAGACACTTAAAGCCAGGTATATCACAAGATTATCTGATTTTCTAATTTTTAATTAAAATCGATTAATATTAGAGTTGGAGTTAGATTAAGTAATTTTTATAGTAAAATCATATTTCCAACACTTTTACTTAGTGAACCAAGACTAGTTTAGATAGTGGTTTTTTATATTGTTTAGGTTTTTTTTTTGTTATTTTACTTTGTTTTGTTTGGGCTGATCCGAATTATATATTAGGTAATCTCGTGATATACCTGGCTTTAAGCGATTCTCATAATTATTCATAAATAAGATTGTTAATTTGGAGTAAAATTTTGATAATAATTTGAGATGCTAATTTATATAGGATATTAAAATTTTGGTAGTTTGAACAAAGATATAGAAATGAGATCTTTGAGTATGGTATCTAAGAAAGGTTCATAAGGTCTTAGTTGCATATTATTGAAGGCTATATAGTTCTAGATTATCTCAATCAATTTACAGATTTGTTATTTATTTGTTTAAAATATAGTAGAGAATGATCTATAATATAGTGATAGACAAGATTTTGTATATAATTATATCCTCACCTATTTTTAGATCAGATGATCATCAATTTATCTAATTTGTCTGTTTTTATTTTTAGCTCTAATAAATAAATTTTTAACTTCAGATATTTAACATTGTCTGTTTTTCTAGAAATAAATTTAGCTCAACTCTAATTTAAATAGAAACCTTTTTAAAACAGAAATATAAATTTCAAAACCCATAAATCATAGTAATTTTCTAAAATTAATTACTTATTTAATACATATTTTTAAAATATTTAATTAGTATTATAATTAATTACTTATTTAATACTAATAATTTTAACTAATAATTATTTTATATTAAATTATATTAATAAAAAAGAAATTTAATATTATTACCCATAGAGTATAATACCTGATACCATGTGATCAGCATCTTTTGTATAGTAGTATATAACACAAGCTAATTTAGATAGTAAATAGATATGCACTTAATATTCTTTAAACAAAACTTTAATAATTCTACCTTTACCTGGAGTTGTACCAATAATATTGTGGCCATATAAACTATATAATCTTTTAACAAGATTTATGCAACATAATAATGATTTTAAAGAAAACAACTTTATATTTTGCTTTAATAAATATAAAACAACTAATTACAATCACGCATTAATATATATCAAAAACAAAATCCATAGACACAATGATATTGGTTAGCATTATCAAATTTATCTAATTTCAGCATCATCATGTCTATGGGCATATGAAATATTGTAGCAATTATTTTACTGCTTCACATTTAATAATTATACAAATGAGTTGATAACAAGATAATAAACAACATAGCAAGAGCCTCCAATGCCACAGCTGTAGTATATATAATTATATGTACTTCTGCCAATCAATTTTATGTGGCTTCTTTTTTTTTTTGATAATGCAGTAAATAGTACATAGCAATTAGATACTGCAGCTATAATGCAACTGTATTTTTGAGACTGCCCTAGCTATCTCTTTTTAACTTGACATTTGATTATAAGCTACCTTCTACATTTTAGTTATAGGTAAACCTAAGTTTTACTAGTTTCAGCAATATCTACCAAATTTTTACCAGTATCACTAGCCACCTGCAACTCTATTTTTGTATTTTGTTAAAAGTATCTTTTATAGAATTTAATGGCCTAAATACTTCTAACTTTGACTTTATCTTTGAATTTTAGTGATATTACTGATCTATAACATGCATATGACAATTTTATATATGGTATTGTATAGTATTTATAATTCATATTTATCAATTTTCGTATTATTATATTTTCATATAATTCATAGCATTGTTTAAAATTACTTAAAAGTTTAAGCTTATTTGATTACGAATACAAACTCTTCTTTTTTTTTAATAAAATAGATATTAACTCTAATAACGAACTGTTGTTTGATCAAGAAAATAATTCAAACCTGAAAATTATCAGTGATCGTGAATTTGAGGAACTGTCAGAAGCCCTTATAGATAATGAGTTTGAGGTGAATAATGAGTTAGATAAACTGTCAAAAAGTGAAAATACACAAATATTTTTTTTTTTTTTTTTAATATTAATGGTGAGACCATGTCTCTAACTTTATTAAAATTT